AGCGAGATTCGAATCCAGGACTTATTGGTCTCGTGCGCGAGCGCTTAACCTCTAGACCACTGAATGGGCATCCAACGGTATTAATGTACAACTTCAACTAATCCACGAAATTGAGCAACACATCCACCATTGTCTTCAGTGAGTTATTATCTCACAACAGACTCGGTTGAACTCCACTGGTCACTGTTTCTCACTTGAACTTCAGGAAATACCTCTTTGGAAGAGTCCCAATATAGAAAGAAACGGCCGTCCAGTGTTTCCAAGTTTTCCATGATGGTCTAACTTCAATTAACTCATGATCTCAATCTGATATGTTGTCACTTTTACGTACTATTTAAGATTCAGAAACTATGAAAATATAATTCTTCACTATTCTCTAGTTTATGTGAAAGACTACTTTCAAACTCATAAAAACCTCTTGAGTAATTCATGAAGTTGGACATTAACACCATTGGATGCCGGCTCAGTGGTCTAATGGTTGAGTGCTCGCGCGCGAAACCAGTAGGTCCTGGGTTCAAGTCTCGCGGGGGGCAGAATCGTGGATACTCACTTCTGAGGAGTCCCATACCAGGACAAAACGGCCGTCCAGTGCTTCCAGGTTTTCCATGGTGGTCTAGCTTCAATTGACTCATGATTTCAGCCAGTGAAATTCATGAAATCCTATGGGTTCTTGTCAATTGTGTCAAACTTTACAATAAGGATTATAAAGATTAAAACAATAATGTAACACATTGATATTCTCCTATACTCAGTAATGATGGGTTCACCAATTTCTGATTCATAATTTGGTCACCACCCTAAATCATCAAGATGAACATTGATGACATTTTTTTCGGTCACTAACATTTAAGACAATAATTGAATGATTATAATGTGACAAAATATGAAACAACTACAAAGTAGTGAAACTATACTAAACATTAGAACTTCCATAAGATAATTGAAACTGTTTTGTTCATCAACCAATATATACTACTGAAATACTCCTTTTATTAAAGAATTATTTACTTATAGTTACACTTATAAAATGCGTATTTATTATTAGAAAAGAAATTGATATACAGAATAAAAGAAAGTACAATCAAGATAGATACCATATGATTAATAATCGTATCATCTTTGAAAAGAAAACAACAATAACAATCCTAATGAAAAGGTCATCTTTAATAATACTGCCGACAAATGATAGACAGTTACTCCTCTCTAACTCTCTAACTAGACACAAATTCTTGTCTATAATTGTGTATGTGTATGTATGTGATAGAGAGAGAAAGAGATAGAGAGATTAATATGCCGTAGATTCATGTTGTCTATTGAAGTTTGCTATTATCACTATTATGATTACGATGATGATGATGATAATGATCAGTTAAAATATTAACAACAATGTACAAATCGTTCGATGGACTGTTTTCTTCAATTTGCTACTTATTTACTAACTCACTGATATTCATTCATTCATTTATTCCGCCTATTTGTCATTTTATCGTCCGGTATTATTTATCAAAATAAAAGTTGAAAGAAAGAAAACAATAGTGAACAAAACAAAACAAAACAAAATGATCATCAAACGGTTTTCTATACACTACACTTTTATTTTTAAATCACCTGCTCCCCCCCCCACTTGAAAAATGTTTTATTTTTGTTTAGTCGAGTACAAAAGAAAATACCGTCATATATTTTCTTTTTTGATCTTGTTATCATATCCGTTCTTACTTTTAGTTATCTTTTATTTCTGTTCATTATCAATATCATTAAAATACTTTAACGCACCCACTATTAGCTAATACACATACACACATAGATAGACAAATTGACATGGATGATTATTACCATTGAAGATACATAGAAATAAGTATCTATGTATATAGGTATAATATTGACAATTAAAGTAGTATATTATACCAATAATATTTTTCGCGCCCTATTTGATCTAATTATATTATATTATTTCTGTTTATTTGTTGATTATTGTTAGTTTCATCAAAAGAGAAATATAAAAGACTCTATTATATTAACGGTATGTGGATTGATCGACTGATTACTATCAGTAAACTAGAAGAAAGAAAATATATACTATTGTAGAAGAAGAAGAAGAAAGAAAGAAAGAAAGAAAGAAAGAACAATCTTGAAAGATGAAAGTGTTCCGACAATTTTTTTTTGAAATTTCCTTTCAGAATATTCATTTATTTACATCAAACCTATCAATCAATACTAATCAAATCGATATGATATGATTGATTGATTGATTGATCATTGAATGAATGTAAATGATCATCAATAGTTATTTACATAGATAATAAGTATTAAATAAACAGTGTTAACTACGAATTATTATCAGTATGGGATTGTGGAGATTATCAAGTTTTTGATTAAGATCATGAATCGATTAACGTTAGATCATCATTGAAAACCTGAAAGCACTGAACAGTCGTTTCGTCCTAATATAAGACTATGAATTATTGTAAATATTCAAAATGAATTCCATTCATGAAAATTTTGTTATTTCATCTAGTTTGTTATTCATCGGATGTATTCTACTCGTACATGAATATGGAGTCGATCAAATCAGAAGTTAGGGAATAGTATATTGATAACATTAAATGAAAAAAAAATAGGGAATATATTTATTGTTAATGCGTCTTAACTAAATTCCTATCAACAGCCTCCAAGTACTTAACAATACATCATAAATTTTATAAATTTGAGAATATGAGTAAGTGAATATTAACCTAATTGTCTGAATGGTGTCATGTTCACCAAGTATATAGTTGTCAATATACATTATTAAATGGTTTCAAATCAAAGATCAACTAGGTATTCCGTGTTTTGTTAGTCGGTCATAAACGGTGTAGAAACTAATACAAACGTGAGTTAATCCAACTTTGCATATCACATCAATACAACGAGATGTAACTAATAAGATGAATACCAAAGGAAACTAAATAATCTTATTAATGATCATAATGAAAAAGTCTAATCATTATGATTTTTGATTGAGATCATGAACGGATTGATGTTAGACCATCATTGAAAACCTGGAAGTGCTGGATGGCCGATTCGTCCTATTGTGGGACTCCTCAGCAGTGCGCATTCACAATCCCGCTCGCGGGGTTCGAACCCATGGCCCTCAGTCTCGTGTGCGAATGCTTAACCTACTGGACCACTGAGCCGGCATCCAATGGTATTAATGTCTATATTGATAATCATTATGAGTCCATTTTGAAGAAACTAAATGAAAGGAAACACTTTGTGAAAGAAAGATAAAGAGCATATCCATTTGCATCATTTTCTGATCAGTTCTATATCATATCTCCAAACAATGATTGTAATCATCAAACTAATTCCAAACAAATAGTATTCTTCACTTATCAACATAACTCCCTAGTTTGTAACAATTTTCCATTTGACAACCGTTTACAATTTTAAAAAATTAAATTATCCAGTCTGATAATTAAACTAGTGTAATCTTATAAATCACTTGCAAACTGTTAAAATGTTTAAGAAAACATTCATTTGACAACCTTAAAAGAAGGAATATAGGAGTATAGTCTAGGTGTTTAAGAACTCCTAACTAACTTACACACAAGTGTCTTATTAATTCATGTAAGATGAACATATACTTAGCGAATCACTTCACAGTCCATCTTTTTTTTTTGTTTTTGATTAGTTAAACCGCTTCATAACCTTAAAGTCTTTCGGTAATTTTCTTAGAATTTACTCAAAATACTTCAAAATTTTAAAGTAAAGAGAAAAAACCTATTCACAATAATCTATTTCAATAGATCAATATCTTGTAACCCTCTCCCCCCCCTTTAATGTACAAGTAATAATTATGTATAGTTTCTGTAGGAACGAAAATTAATTTTTCCTTAAAAGTTGATTAATTGTACTTCTTTTTTTAAAAAAAATAATATTTCCTAAATTATGTTTGAAACTTGAATGGTATTATTGAATATTGGACAATATGAAGTTAAACTGTCCGTTAATAAACAAAGATGAATAGTAGTTAGTAGTGGAATCTAGGACGTGCGTTTCATCTTATTTGGGACTCGTCAGAGTTGATGTTCACCCCGGGACTCGAACTCAAACACCACCGCATTATCCATTTATCTCTACTGAATCCTGATAGCTACCTGTTTATGTAATGGTGTGAAATTTTAAATTCACTTGATGTTGTTAACTTGTATCTCTCTATTGCTATTTAGGATTGCAATTGATCAGTCTCTGATTGGCAACACGCGTACTGGATTCCACTGTTAATCACTAATAATCGTTGTTTATAAAGCTTGTGAATTAAGGCAATATTTAGGCAGTCCGCACAGGATACACATATGAGAGACTAATCAATTGCAATTCTAAATAACAATGGGAAGATACAAGTAAACAGCATCAAGTGAATTTATCCGTTAACAACACTATAATGTAGATATAACATATTATCGTATTATTATTATTCGTTCTTAATGTTAGAATATTTATTATTTCAGATGAAGAAATGTGATTCAAAAAAAGATGACAATGTTCTCTAGAATTTGTAAAAACGGTATCTATAAACGATTTTAAGCTTATATCGTATAGGCAGATGGTCAATGAATTGATAACTAATACAATAAGTTGTTCTTAGGACTAAAAATGAATTATTACCAATAAAGTCTATACACGATTAGTTGAAAGTTACATTTGTCCGCCTGGAGCCCCTCTGGGGCTACTGCCGGTCCCAAACCCGGATAAAGGAGGAGGGTTGGACATGCGGTTAGCAACCCCATCCTGTAGAAAACTAACTCGCTAAAAGAACGCTAACCAGAAAGTAAGTAAGTAACGATTAACGAAAATGTCTCATTGCACAGTTTACATTTTACGCATAAATCAAATTGAAAATATAACTATACAAAGTTATTATATTTTGATTAGATACATACACAAATCGGTACAAGTATATATATATTTTTTTCATTATTCAAAATAAATATTACACTTTTTTGCAATTAATCACTCACTTTTGATCGTCCGACCATTCCCGATGATGAAGATGATGATAATGCATCTGCAGATAATTGATGTTGACCAAATCCTGTTAAATTTGTTCCACCATGCCCGCTTGGTAAATGTCCGATAAAATTTTGTGAATTATTATTAGTATTATTATTAAAATTGCCTGATAACCCAGATGGATGATTTGTATAAGGTGAACCAAGATGTGGTGGTCTAAGTTCACTACCACCTCCAAACCCCGATGGATTTGAATACAATCCAGGATAGTTCGAATGGTTACCATGATGTGGATGGAGTTGCTGTTGATGGTGATTATGATGTAATTGTTGTTGTTGTGCGTAATAACTTGAAGAGTCTGAAAAACCAGACATTGGGGAATTATGCGGATTAGGATTATATCGTGGATCACCACCACTACCACCACCTCCAAACATTGAATGGAATGCATTACTGGATCCAGCAGGTAAATTCGAACATGGATACATACCGCCTAATCCTAATAATCCACCCATTTGTGTTACAGACGAAGCTGCAGCAGCGGCAGCAACTGCCGCGTAGGCAGCTGCTGGGTCACCATGAAATCCTGAATGATGCTGATGATTATTATTATTATTATTTGCAAAATTTCCAATATTTGGATGAGATAAATTATGTTGCATATTCAATCCTCCATTTGAATCATCAATTAAATTATTAAACAGATTCGTTGTTGGTGTTGTTGTTGTAGAATGACCACTGGGAAGATTTCCATGTTGTAACCCTAACGATGTATTTGAATTAATTATTGATTGATTCATTGAACAGTTAACAGGTTGTGGACTATTACCTGAACCAGTTGATCCAGCAGAATCTCTATCTTCAATTACTAAATCAATCGGCATTTTGCCGCGTAAACATGTTATATAACGAGAACAGAAGTTATCACAGAGTTCATGAACCTATATTAAATTGAGTAATAGTTAAAGATATATATATATATATATATATATATATATATATATATATATATATATATATATATATATATATATATATATATATATAAAGAACACATTAGAACGTAAATCTAAAATTTATAAATAATACTTGTTTATGATAAAAATACTTTATCATCTATTATTGATTTATTTATTAATACAACCCAATCATACTTGATGAAGAAACGCTGGAAGAGGTGGAATCTTTCATGTACCTAGGAAGCGTCATCGATAAATAAGGAGGATCCTATGCAGACGTAAAGGCAGGAATTGGCAAAGTAAAAGCAGCATTCTTACAGTTGAAGAATATATGGAACTCAAAACAACTTTCTGTCAACCAACACCCAAGTCGAAATCTTCAATATGAACGTCAAGTGCACGGAGCTGAAACTTAGAAAACTACTAGAACTATCATCAGCAAAATACAAGTATCTATAAACTGTTGTCTACGTATGATACTGAATGTCTGTTAGTCGGATATGATCAACAATAGCCTATTACGGCAGAGAACAAATCAGGTCCCATCTGAAGAGGAAATCGCGAAAAAAACGTTGGAAGTGGATAGGGCATACATTACGGAAATTATCAAATTGCATCACGAGTCAAACTCTAACTTGGAATCCTGAAGGGAAACGAAAAAGAGGAAGACCAAAGAACACACTGTGTCGAGAACTAGAAGGAGACATGAAAATGATAAATATAACTGGAACCAACCGGAAAGGATTGCCCAGGACATATTTGGATAGAGAATGGTGGAGGGCGATACATGCTCTTCCACGAGGGGGTGACAGGTGTAAGTAACAAGTAATATATCATATAAAGTATATAGGATTTGCGGGGATTGTTGAATTTCATAGTTTTCATCATAGATTGAACCTGATTATGGGTCTATAATTTGTGTACGATATTTGAGCGAGGATTAAGTGAATTTGAGAATGTCCAATTACTTGCTACGGCTAAATAAGAGCTATAAATTAGTGTGAGGAATTAAGATTAAGATTTACAATCGGACGTCAGGGTTAGGACTTAGAGTTTGGGTTTTCATCACAATAATGGAATCCGCGTCATGCATTTAATTCTATTCGGGACTTGTCAGGTGAATGTACCTGGATTTCAGTGATAAACATGAGTGTAAACAAAACGATCTTCCTAGAGTTTTCTGCTAACCACAGATCACGTATTACTAAAACCTACTACTTAACGTTATACTGAGGCGATTTTCTAAGGATGCCAATTTAACAACAGAGATTGATCAATTACAGTCCTGAATATTAATAACAGTAAGGTACGAACCATTACTGAAATAAACAGTGTGCTTTGTGATGATTTACTTCAATTCAAAACTTACTTTCATCACATATCAATATTGGCTGGGGGGACTATTGAAAATCGGTAAACATTGAACAGTTGTTTTGTCCTATTTTTCTGGGTCACTACTGTTTAACAGTGGATGATCACAACACTACACTTGGCGAAATGTAGGGTAGTGTTTTTAAACGTGTCTTAGAGAACTCGATACTTACTTCAGTGACTTTGGAACATAATTTAAGGATCATGCAATTTTCTCTCTCTTGGTAATTAATATTATTATGGTATATGTTTATGTATTCAACTTAGATCTTGACTGATTGTATGCATGGTCTAGCAACACTAAAATCAGTCTAAATCAAACTAAGTGAAATAGGATTTGATTGCATAACATACTGGTCGAAAGTCAGTCAGATGCTACAACTTCTATAAAGCTACTATTTAACTTTTGGTTCATAATGTAAAGTTCGCAAAAGATGATATCATCTCACAATAATAGATGATGATATAATTTAAAGTCAACTATTAACTGATCAGAACTGATCATAGGATATTGTATTTCTATACAATGATTTTACAACTGAGTAAAATGAAAATATCAATCAGTCTTGAGTATGAAGGCAGATTTCACTTCCCGGCAATTAACACCGTAAAAGGGTTCCTCTAGAGGTACTCGAAAAGGAAATTGTGTTAGAGTTGATCTTAGTGACCTGACAGTGTGACTGCAGTATCAGTGCTTGAGGACAGTCACATACAACCTTTGGTAATTTTCGTGTTAGCTCCGTACTTGTTGGGACCTTACCTCCGGAGACGGAAATCCGTAAGATAAGATGAGGTGTGCAATTTTTGGGGTCGACTTTTTCTAACCACATCCATCCTTGTGGGAAGGCAGCATCGCTTTTATGCTGATTATCTGAGGGAACCACCTTACTGCCATCACATCTCTGTACAATCAGCAGTAAGAGTTCTTCCTCGAACTTTGTGTTTACTGATTTTAGTCTTACCGCTCTTCAACCAACCTATCTGGCATGGTAGGACCTTGAGGAACGATTGTTCTAGCCAGTATAGCTCGATTAATTCATCACGATAGAAAAGTCTAACCACCATATCAAGGGATTCAGTAACGGTCGGGAATGAAAATATATACAGAGATCAAAGATAAAATGTCAAATAAACAAATAGCATTGTAATTAGATAGACTAAATCAATCAATTAACAAATAAATAAATCACACCACACATATCACTTACTTTTTCTATTTCAAGAAGATGAAATCGGAGAACTTGAATAGCTTGGATTATCTAAATGTTGTTTTAAAGCCAAAAAAGAAAAGAAAAGATGATGAAAAATAAGTATGCATGTGTTGGGTGGATGGGTGGTTGTTGGGATGGTTGACTGATTATCGTAGAATATTAAACAATTAATTTTACAAAATAAATTTCATTCAGAATATTTGTGCATATGTGTGTGTATGTGTACATTTCACACACTTGAATGTGTGATAATCATGACAGGAATAACAACAATCTAATATACAAAACATAGAAAGAAAGAAAAAAGGTAAACGTCTAGTTGAGGAGAAAAATATGATATATGAGGTTGTTGTTGTTGTTGTTGTTGTGTGTTTTTTTATTGTAGAAACATTCTTAGATCATATTACTTAGATGTGAGTATAAAAATTGATTTGTGTCTTATTTTTTGCTTTTTTCTCTCGAATAGGTATAATCAGAATGAAAATTTATTGGAATTAATTAACCTATGAAATAAATATTTTTCTCTATGCCAAATATGTGTGCGCGTGTGTGTGTGTATGTATGTATAATATACATACACAAGCGCACATATTCCCTCTCCCCCTCTTTACATATCAGTTAACAACACATACATAATTTTACAAATACATGTAGTTGCAAAAAGAAAAAAACGGTTATCTTGTCTTTTTTTCTATGCAAAAATAAAAAAAAAATTTGAAATGAATTTACAAATTCATTATTTGTAACTTTTTTTTGTTCTTCAAGGGAAATAAAGTGTAGATGTTTCATAACATGGCGCCAATATGAGAAAACGTGATCGATTATATCTATATGGATGTCTAGTTTAGATTTGTATTATTTATAGTCTAGTGCTTCAAGGTTTACAATGGTGGTCTAACTTAAATCGATTCATGAATTCAACTATTACAATTACTACAATCTTCACAAATATCAATTCTGATAATAATAATAATAATAATAATAATAATAATAATAATAATAATAGTGTGACTAGTTTCAAAATGGATTTCATAGAGTTTTAGTGAGAAACCTTAGTCCATGCAGTTCATTCCCTGTTGGGTATGAGACAGTTATTTAACTCAGAAAATGGATGAAGGGTTATGTAAGATCATGAATCGATTGAAGTGAAACATTAACAATGTTCGATACTAGCCGGCTCAATGGTTTACAGGTTAAGTGTTCTTGCACGAGACCTAATATGTCGAATTCGAGTCTCATATACAGGATCGTGAATGTGCACTGTTGAGCAGTCACATACTAGGACATGATAACCGTCCAGTGCTTCCAGGTTTTCAATGATAGTCTAGCTTTGATCAATTCATGAATTCAACTATTAAAACTAAAGGAACGAGTAACACTGAGTAGTCTTACTTCCAAGAAGAATTAACCATTCAGAAGTCTAAAAGGTATACATAAACAAAATAGATGATAATTGGATATCATATCTCTCAGTATGTCACATTATGAGGCACAAACCAGTAAGAATCCTAACCTTAATAGGGTCAAACATAGTAATTTCGTTCTTTTATTTGTAACTCATGATGATATTTCAATAGTTAAAGTGAATGCTACTTCGTCTGGAACTAATTTCAAATGAAAAATATCAATATTAGTTTAGAAAAATATTAAAGTTCAGTATGATAATTATCCACTGCCACAGATGACAGTTGTTTTACCAGCGATATGCTCGGAATACCTTGAAATTACTAGTAGATTGACTATTACAGTTTAGTTGAAGGGAGTTTGGTGGAGATCTGGTTTGATTTGCAGGGTTCCCGATTAGATCGACCTCAACCAAGGTATAGGTGAAAAATGAGAAACATTAGATGTTTTTTTCTCCTAGCTTCGGCCTCCTTGATAATGTTCACGTACAAGCGTGCCAGAGTTCGAACACAGGATTTTCAGACCGTTCTGAGAACGTCCAACCCTCAGAATCACTGGATTTACTTACACTGATACAATTCTAATAGAAATAATAGAAAAAAATACTTAACTTACCAAAGAATCTAACTCGGGATCACCAGTGCGAATAGTTTTTTGGGAATTAACTAACTGGAAGACAAAAAATACAGAAAAAGCGAAACAATCAGACACCATTGATTAAACGCTGAATTTTTTATTCAATCTTAATCTAAAGGGGTATTTTTATTAAAGGCATTGTTGTATAAACAACCATTATTACATTCAATTAGTTAAAGATTTAAAGAGCAGTACAGGACAATCATTCTAAATTAGTTACGTGGTTAGATGCTTAAAGAGAGAGAGAGCTTTCAATTGTCTATTTACATCTTTCAGTGTGTACCGCCATCTGAACCATCTTCTTGTCTAGTCTCTAAGTGTTTTGCCAATGTTATACTTTCACTGACTGAAACCTCTCACTTTGTCGAAAAATTCGAGACCACCTTCCAAAACATACTACTTTCAAGCAATCATATGAGTAGCGTCTATCACATTAGTGCTACAAAAAAAGAGAGAAGTTTCCTTTACGTAGTACATGTGCAACTAAACTATTCTCTTCATTTGCCTTATCTCTTCTTGCTTTGTCATTGAGGTATTACTCTATTCCACCTTTTTATCAATGTTATTTATATGAAACAGATGTGGACCAATTTTTAAATCAGAATTGCTATCTTATATACATTTTTATTTGTCCTATTTCTTGCTCTCACTCCTTTTCTCTCTCTCTCTCACACACACATACACACTATCTCTCTCCTGTTGATGCTGCTAACAAATTTTAAAGGAAATTCAAATGAGCGGTTCGTATGTATTTATGTGACCGTGTTTATGTGGGCACTTGGTTCAACGTATCTATTCCTAACATACATAAAGGGATAAAAAACTTAGTAAATAGTTGATTATCCATATGCTCAGAATATATATATATATCCCACGTTCATAAGAATACATTGAAGGAAATTGATACTTTAAATTTTACAGGCGTAATAATAAAAAAGGTGTTCTGTGTTATTTTTTTTACCATTTTGGTCGTTCACTAATAAAATATGGGCCCAGTTTTAGACTGTACCAGATAGTGGACTATTTAAAAAAATGAGGGTTCAAATAATCGTTTTATGTGTGCTTGTATGTACCAGTAATTTCAGTGTTAAGTAGTATATATATATCGTGAGACAGAATGATGAGTGAGACTGTTATAAGACCACGACCTATCTCACAGATATTTTCACATCAAGTTATTATAATGGAACACAACACCTTGCATAATAATGAAAGATGATCACAGTTGAATGTCATTTTTTTTTAAAAAGCAGATAACTGTTACAATTATGAATTAGAGTTATTTAATATTAAGAACATTGATACAATTCATATATGTAGACTAAACAAGCCAATTAAATACTAAGTCATAAAGTACCATCTCAAGATTATATATACACCTAGCTGGTAAGTGACAAATAGAATGAATCCTGGATCCATCGTTTTCTATCAACTACCATCATACATCTCAGCATCATGCATCCGATGTTAAGTCACTTGAACTGGTGACTAAATCCCAATTTTGAACAATTGAATTCCATTACCATGAAGAAGGATTTGATATGTATGACATTACACACTATTCACTAATATTTCTTTAGGGATTCACATTTGTATCATCATAGTTTATCACAGAGGTATTTACAAATATTGACTAATCTTCTCATCGATTAAGTTATGAGTACACTAATGGATCATTATTATTCATAAACATTGTATATATCAATGATAATAATCTGTTTGTTTATTTTTAAGTGTTATCAACAGTTCATCATCAAATCAATAAATTTTAACCCAATGAAAATCATTATACAATAAGTAATGGATAGTGATATCAACTAGAATATCTTTTTTTTTCGGAACACAACAACTTAATAATGACAGATCACCGAAAAAGAAAACAAAATAGAACAGATGTCAACTTTACAGTCTCCCTCTCTTCCTCTCTGTTTCTTACCGATAGCTCTAAGAGATAAGTGAACGGATGTATTTCTGTGATTACCGTATGAACGAATGCATATATATATATATATATATATTAGTGTGTTGAGTTTGTGTGAGTGTACAATGTATACAGTTGTGTATACATAAAGCAAAATAATCATTAATTAATTAAGTCACATTAACTACTAACTGAAATAATTGATAAACTGAACCCTAGAAATTGAAACAGTCTACTCAATTAAAGTTAAAATTCGTTTGTTTGTGTATGTGTATGGACATATGCATATATGTACACGAGTAAATAAAAGTAATAAGTTGAATGATAAATGGAAAATAAGGCAACAAACATGGTAACAAGGTTCATTTACTTCATAAAATGATTGAGTTGTACATCAAAAATTGACTTTTATTAGCAACTATTACATATTCTTAAAGATTACATAACAATTTTGTCCTAATATATAGATTCATCAGTATAGTGTATATATATCTCTAAAGTTAGTTTGTGATGTACAATTATAAATTTCAATACCCCCCCCCAACGTATTAAAGAATGGAATCAAATTGAGAATGTATTCATTAAAAGTTCTTGTCCTATTAACCATCGTCCTTAGGCAAAAAAACGCACAGCTTGGATTCTAGTAAACTAATAAACAGGAAACATTAACAATACATTTTTAAAGATACCAAGTAGTAATACTTGGAATATTCAACAGAATAATCAATAAATTTGCTAGTTATTAAATATGAACTTACTTCTTTCGCAAATACAATAATATCTTCATTAAATGATTCAGATGACCATACTTCCATATTACCTGTATTTGTATTACCGGAAGCTGAAGCAGCAGCAGCTGACATTGGATCTCGTGGTGTACATGTGGCTAATTCACATTTTTCAAAGATTAATGCCAATAATGGAAATAATGGATGTCTAATAAAGAAATGAATAAACAATAAATTATAAGTTGATGGTTTTTTTTTCAAATTGAATAGTTAAGAAATACTACTTAAATAAGGAGAGGAAAAAATCGAATAATTTCAAAGCCTATTATGATTTATGGAATGATCTACTTATCATTGAATAATTGGTTCCGTCAATATTCATTTAAGATAGACAAATAAAGTGTATATATGTGTGGATGCGTGTATGTGTGTGAATCATTTCATAGTTCAAGTAAACATAACCATCTAGTTGGTTTTCACTTTGAAATTGTTTTTCTAAATAAATAAATATCTATGTCATTCTAGATGAAAATCTATAACAAAATACACCGTCACATTCATTTATTTCTAATATAAATGATAACTCATAACTATTCCATAATGATGAGCATATTTTGTTACTAGACACTCATGTAAACATACGTACTCACCTACCCATACATGTATATATATATATATATGAGTTTGTGTTTGTGTGTGTGTAAACAATTACCTAAACAACTTACACACAATATCTATTCACTATACCCAAAAACGATATACAATAAACAAAGATGAATTGAATTAAAAGTTAATTGTATTTTATTTTTCGTCGACAACACAAATAACAAATATTGTTAAGTGTAAGAAAGAAGAAAAAAAGAGCGCCATAAAACTTTTAGATAATTGAAAACAACACACACACACACATACATAAATATCATTGTAGCTTTGAAAAATAAAGTGAAATATTATGCAATAGGTTATATGTTTGTAAGTTTGTAATTTATCCGTTACTCAGTCGTCAATATATCTAATAGTTAAGCGCTTGCGCGCGAATCTCATAGGTCCTGAACTCGAATCTCGTGGGGGGGGCGGAATCGTGGATGCACACTGCTGAGAAGTCCCATACTAGGACGAAACAGCCGTCCAGTGCTTTCAGGTTTTCTATGGTGGTCTAGCTTCAATTGACTCATGATTTCAACTATTGAAACTATTAATATATCTATCAGAATGGGTTTTGTGGAGATTTTAGAAATTTCACAGATTGAAATCATGAGTCAGTTGAAGCTAGACCACCATAGAAAACCTGAAAGCATTGGATGGCCGTTTCGTCCTATTGTGGGACTCCTCAGCAGTGCGCATCCACAATCCCGTTCGCGAGATTCGAACCCAGAGCTTCAGTCTCGCGCGCGAACGTTTGACCTAATGGACCATTGAGCTGGCATCCAATGGTGTTAATGTCCAACCTCAATCAATCCATGAAATTTCGCAGCCTCTCATTAAAAATTCAGTATTCGATCATCAATGTGTACATATTTATTTGATTCCGTTGTATATTCATTAATTAAACAATCAACTAACTAATTAACTAACTGTTTATTCACTTAATTGTATGAATAATTAAATAATTACATTTTTCTCATTCTCCCTATATTTTGAATGAATCGATATGTCAAATGAAAATACCACCAACATCATCATCATCATCATCATCATTAATTTGAATTAGCGTCATCAATATCAACTCTGAATGTGACAGGCTACACGTCATAGTGATATATGTGAGAGAGAGAGAGGCAGAAGGAGAGGGAGAGAGAATGATCAGTCAACTAAATAGATGAATAATTTCTAGGTGAATAATAATAATAATAACTTACCGGTGTAATCAAATTGAATATTGTTATGCATATGTTAGGTATATGTTTTATATCTTTGATATTGTACACTTATTGTTTATGTAATAACTAGTTATATTGATTAGACTAGTCAAATCGAGGTGTAATATGCATATGTAATGGGATTTCAATTCATTACTGTATATTTATTAGTTGAATGTTTAATTCACACTTTAACTATTCATCTATCACTTATAATAATTTATGGAACAGATTTTAACTTATTTATTCCGATTATGTTGATATACAGTTTGTTCATTTAAACCATTGTAAACGTCTACTTGTATATATATATGTCATTATTAATGACTGACTTAATTAGGATTATCAGTATGAAGATTTATAGAGATATTAGCAGGTGTATTCACGAGTCAATCTAAATTAGATCATCATTGAATATCTGAATGCATTGAATGGCCGTTTCGTCTGAGTAATGTGCATCCACAGTTCTGAACTATTGAGGAGTGGCCCGAGATCGGACTCCAGTTAGATCGAATGAAGTATACATATCGCCAATTCTTGTATATGATCATCGACTTAAATCATGTTGGTGAATAACGGAATGAAATAAGTCAAGTACGAGAATGAAATTCGAATATGTATAATTTATGCAATCGTTGATTGAAACAGACAGTCAGAGAATTGCAGCGAGTTGAGCGAAACAAAAGGGCGCGCAGTGGAGAAGGCGTGTGAACCAATTCAATTCAATCAAGCGTGAATCAATAGTTATAGGCACATAAAAATAGGTTACAATCATGTGATAAATAGGATAAGAAGTGCATACGCATACTCTTGTTTATATAAAAACAGTCAAGGTTGATAAGTGAATAATTAACAAGATCAAAACGTGACTCAAGTAGAATGGATGAATTGGCCTGTCCAACAGTTAAAATAAGTTATATGAGCTTAACATAGTAACCGACACTACACCACATTTGAACGAATAGGCCATCCACTGCTACCAAATGTTCAATGGTGGTCTACCTTAAATTGACTCGTGGATTCAACTGCTAATTAAGATGAACAAATACGCCAATATAATGGTTGTATGTTATTCTCTTACCATAAATGAAATGATATCTAAAACAATTCGATTTTCCCTCTCTAACCTACTCAGTATATAGTGTAAAATAATCATTTATAAATTAACTGATAAGATTTGAGATTGTGCCTCTTCAATACAGATGAGAAATACAATCATCCATAACATTCTGGTATTATAAGTAATATTAATGTATGATAATAAACTCTAATGTTCATTTCAAAACCTTAATCATGATCTTAATTTGTCACACTACTTTATAATCCTTTTCATTGGTTGAAGTTTTCCAAGAGCACTTTATTATCACTTAAATATCATTGACATATTGCTATAGTTACTACTGATGATGCCACAGGTATTTGTAGTTTGACAACACTTTAACCAGTAACACCTAATATGCATCGTAACCACCAAGTGACATCAAAAGACAGAAGCGAGGAGGTTCGAAGATATATTTGATAGGCTATCAATGTATTGAAGATCGTCTGATCTAATCTGGCTAGCGATTGCAGAGAATGTTGAGCACGGCGTTCCCATTTGTGATCTGATGCAGATGCATGACCGAGTACCTTCAGTTAGGTGAGTCCATTAAAACTAATGTGGTCAGCATCCAATCTCGAAGTTTCATTTATTTTTATTTTAACACATAGATATTGGATACAAGGAGGCACCAAACAGATATGCGCCACACAGATCTCATTTGATATGTGTGAGGGCTGTGATACTGCCCTGGAGCCCAAACCGAAGCAGTTGGTTTTGTTAGGTGGCCACACCCCGAGCCTTTGACCTGAAGGTCTGATCCACAAGATAGTGGATCAACGTAAGGAGATACAGTCCCATGATAGCTAGTGACGAACGATTAGTTCATACGCCATTTTTTCCCTTAGGATGCTGGAGCCCATTTGAACCATTGATTTGGAATCAGGGTTTTCTAACTCCTCTAGGTGGACTCTCTGTATCTATCAATCCGGTTAAAGCGCCAGACATTCGCTTTTCGTCTCCTCAATTTGGTAAACAACACTCCCGCTGTGAGAAGGCAGTGAGTAGGACTTCCCTGGCAGAGGCTATATACGCGTGGCCATGTGGGAGCATTTCGAGAGGGGGGAGCTGACTCCCCACTCTCGGCCGTACCAGGGAATTTAGGGGCTTACAGAGTTACTTATTCTTGGGATTTATTTATCGCTACACACTCCATTAAAAACAGTAATTGACTAGAATTTATATTGAATAATTTTTGTAACTAATTAAGGTTCTACTCTTTTGTAATCATTCCATTACAATTTAACCCTTTCTCATTTTATTTTGTTTAAAAAAGAAAAAGAAAGAAAATAACTAGATAGACGTCTGAATTAGTCTATTTTAAGACCTACATAAATAGTTGACCTATATACAAAAGGTAATTAATAAAATTTGATAATATTGACTTACTATGATCAATAATATGGAGTTCACCGGAAGATTTAAAGTTTACTCTATGGTTTATAATTACCTTCTTGGGAGAATTATGATGATATACTAACTGAAGTGTATAACACTAGAATGAAACAATGATCTATTACTATTCCATAATGGCAAAAATCGTTTTCACATTATAAACTTGTGAAAAAGTCACATGAAACTTGACTAGGTTGTCTTAATCTATTAACATGGATCAAGTAAATAGATGATGACATTATAAATCGATGCAGATGTTTTGACTTGACTACTTCTAGTTCACTTCTAAACTAACTAGTATATTCACCTCGAAGTATGTGGTAGTTCGAGATATGTAAATCATGTCTCAACCCATATCTAATGATGAAGGTCCACAATCTTATAAATCAACTAACCAAATTTATGTTGTACTCTATATTTAACCTTATAATTACTTATTCAGTCGTTTCACAATGCACAAGGAATGTTTTGAAGATAAGTATAATTAAAAACCTGAATCATGTCTTCTAATTCCATGGATCATATTTCAGAACCATAAATGAATATACAGAGTAGATTATTGCTTCTTTTTGGTTGACAGTCAGATAAATCCTGGTACAGATGTATATTAGTTCACAACAACAACACAGTCAAATAAAACAAACGATATTTTTAATTAAGAAATTGAACTAATAAAAATGTTAGTACTAATGAAAAATAAAAACTAAACAAAGAGATTAAGTTTGAAAATAAAGTAATTAAATAAGAAAAGAAAAATGTATAAAGCAAAACTGAAGCCTAAATTTTAGGTAACAACGACGACAAAGCACACTTTCATATGATTGTAACTTATTTTGACCTATATCAACCTTCATT